CCTTTTGTTTCTCAGTTTCCTTTTATATAGTAAAAAATAACAAAACTGCATTTTATAAACGATTGTCATATAAATTCAGATGTTTTAGTAAGAAGTTTATGAAAATATTAGAAACGTATTATTGATTAACATTCTTGTATTGATATACGAAGTATATACGCAGTTATTTGATATAAATAAATGGACTTTGTTATATAAAATGAATAATTTCATGTTTTACGCGTAATGATCATGTACATGTATTACGTGTAAAACTGCAAGGTTTCTAGTGTTACTCTTTTTATTAATATTACGTTGAGGTACAAATCCGTAAAAGAGAATTCACATTCAAAAACAGGTTTATTCGAGATTTTAAGTGGAATTGCATCCCAAAAGAATATTCTCTTCCATGTGTTACGGATGAAAAATTTTTTCCCGGTGATTTCCCTAGGCGAGCTGGTCAATCGATCTCTGTCCTAATTGTGCAAAAAAGAAAATCAACGCAAAAGAGACGTGGCAACTCGAGTTCTTTTGCGTTTGAGTTATATACCAATAACACATATGCAACTATGTTTAATGATTTTTTATTAAGAAAAAAATAACGTTCTTGGCAGCGTATTTAATAATTTTTTTTTATTGTTTCTCTAAGTTTTAATTAAGCTTTATTCTTATAGTGAAAAATTAGTTTAATGTGATAAATTTTAACATCAGGTAGCTTCTTTTCTATAAAACATTAAAAAAAAATATCAAAATTCTTTTCAATTTTACTATTATACAATAATTGATTTTTATAATAGTTTTTGGAAACTATCGATTTTTTCGAACTTTTATTTTACAACCATTTGAAATAAATTTTAGATTAGTTAATTATTATATTTTATCATTACTGAAATCTTAGTTATTTTAAATAAGACTATATAGAAAAGTTTTAAAATATGATACTCTTTCATTTACTTTAATATCACATAAAAACTTCAAATTATAATTAATAACATTATTATGTTAAAAATGAAAAAATTAAGTCAGTAGAAAAAACGTACTAATATTCGAAAATTCATACATTTTCCCTGTCTATATTGTAAAAGTAAAGTATCTTACATTTCTTTTAATTTAAAAAAAAATAAAAAATTTTAATAATATAAATTTTGCGATCATCTCTTTAAATTAAGTAACATGAGAACAAATTAAGTAATTTGAGAATAATTGCCACAATTCGTTGATTACCCCAGTGATAATTCTCTTACATTAATAATTCATATCCACAGAACTGATTCTATGAATATATGAATATTTCATGCATTCTCTTTCTCTCTCTCTCTCTCTCTCTCTCTCTCTCTCTCTCTCTCTCTCTCTCTCTCTCTCTTAAAGTAAAAAGTACGATGTGAAAACAGAACATTGGTCATTACTGATACGACAATCAGAGACTGCAAATAAAGTTAAAGCAAAAATCCAAGAAAGAGAATCAACTTCATTTGATATTTTTTATATATCATAATGTGCTATTTAATTTTAAAAAATATTTAAAAAATTAAAATTGAAATCTCGATACA